CAGACTGGTCAGTCAGTCACACAGAGGGTCCGCTCTGGGGTTTCTGGATGTGGCCAGACTGGTCAGTCAGTCACACTGAGGGTCCGCTCTGGGGTTTCTGGATGTGGGCAGACTGGTCAGTCAGTCAGTCACACAGAGGGTCCGCTCTGGGGTTTCTGGATGTGGGCAGACTGGTCAGTCAGTCACACAGAGGGTCCGCTCTGGGGTTTCTGGATGTGGCCAGACTGTTGGCAGGTCTGTGGGCGGTCAGTAACGCAGAGCCTCTGTCCTCAGGTGGTGCGGGACGTCCTGCTTCTGGGGCACCGGCAAGCCTTCGCCTGGGTGGATGAGTGGATCGGTAGGTTTGGTGCTTCATGGCCTGGTTTATCTCCTTCGGGGAGCTGCCCACTGGCCGAACCCCTGAGAAACTACTCACTGTGTATTTCTCCCTTTCAGGTGGAAAAAAAAAAGATGTTTTTGTTATTCTCACAGTTTGCCCTTCCCCAGACACAACATGCATACTTAAAGCCTGTACATCACTCGGGGGCCTGCCTTGCTGTGAACACCCCAGTCCCCCGCCGTTTTCTCAAACATATTCAATTCACGCTCATGTCCAAGTGACAGCAGGAAAAACACTTGTGCAACTCATCGCCTCATTTGTTGTAAGACATCTTCAAGTTCAGTGTACCAAGCTATTGTCATTTATTATCTCCATACGATCAAAAGGGAATATTAAAGAGTAGTAAGTCCTAATTCAACCAAACTAAAACCACAGAGTGGTAACAGAAGGTCATTTTAATAACGCAACAGTGGCAGCATCTATCCTAAACCCGTTCATTTACCTTCAGGTATCAGCTTTCACTGTGTGGCATAAAACCACACTTTAAGGGCTTGGAAGTTAGTTTGAGCAGAATGTTTCTCAGCATTTAGTTGCCTCTTTCAGTTTTCATCCACTTGGCTTTTAGAAGATAATAGAGGTTATAAAGCAGAGGAAGAGGCCGTACAGCCCATTGATCCCAGGCCTAGAACTGATCCTCACGATTCCTGACAGAGCCCAGGACATCGGCCTCATTTTCATTTCCCAGGGAGGTCATAGGTCAGGGAACCGTGCTCTACACACTGCAGCCTCAGAGCAGCAGCTCCGCGGCCTTCCGCTGTCCCTGTCAGGGAGGAATGTGAATCAGGATCTGCAGTTCCGCTGCACAGCCCCCAGCGCTCAAGCACACTGCCTTCATGAGTCCTCCTGTGGCGATCCATCCTTAATCTTTCGGCATGGGGGTGTTGATCTATCACGCAGGAAACTGCGATATGTGGCAGGTACACTGGGCCTTGAACCCCTGTCTTCTCCTGTGTTTCATACCTTGGATAGAAACCTGTAGTAGTGAATGCTGATGAGCTACAGTGTCATAATTATGCTTAGAAAGTATAACATGCCGACATTTGCTAAATTATGTTGGAAAATGCTTTAGTGTATTTTGCATTGTGCAATGCTTACTTGATCAGTGCTAGTAAACCTTTCAGACAGTGTGTAAATTAAAATACGGGTCGAGGCAAGTTGTAGCTAAAAACTAGCATGGCCTGTTTAGTTGCCCAGGAATGAATGTCATTGATTTTTAACTTGTATGTGGTAATTTCTGTTGTGATCCAGCAAAACACCAAGCCCCCTCTTTTCTCTAGCGCTTGATTTGCTTTTACTAACCGATCTCTGCTAAGCTTCAACCACAGTGACAACCCAAATGGATCTGTCAGTAAGAGAAGAGTGTCTTGAAAAAGACGACAGAACTTCAATGGAACATCTGCATTATTATTATTATTATTATTATTGTTATTGTTATTGTTATTGTTATGTGACTGGCAGCTTTGCCCAGTCCCAGTAAATAAGGCCCTGTCTGTCTCCCACATTTCACTGGGAACTTTCCTGGAGTCTCGCCTGCCTCTCACTAATCACCCAGATCCATTTTGTGTCCCTGTTCTTTCTAAGTGCTATCAAACCAGGCCCCTGGGCTACATCGAGAAGGCCAGATTCCCTATTAGGCTGTATGAGCTGGGAAAGCGGTATAAGTATATTCGCTTAGCCTCTGCAGTTCAGCCTCAGCACTGCTTTTAAATCAGTTATGTCCCCCGATTCTTTCATTATCCTGGATCTCTGAAATGCCCGTGTTCTAAGTTTTAGGTTTTATGACATGTTTTACCTCTGGCTGTTTGTCAGTTGTTGTTCTATGAATGATGTGACTCATCCTCTCCTCTCCCACCACCTGCACAATCTGCACTGTCCCTCTGCAAACAGACCCCTCGCCAGTGTCCCACACCCAGCCCTGCCTTGGCCACAGGTGCCCATATAAAACAGAGACTGCTGCATTTGGGTGGACAGGGGACATGCACAAGACTCAGCTGTACTATCCCCATTTTACAGATCACTGTCTTTTGGCTTTGTGCATCATACCTTTAGGATGGAAATCAGAAGAGACTAAATGATACAGATGTATCTTGTTGAGACAGATGGGTGTGCACGATGGTCATGTAGCTTCTTTGGCTTTAAAGAGCAGAAAGCGCAGGCTCCCAGCGCAGGCTATAATCCCCCGAGACTCAGTGTGGCTCCTGAAATCCCTGGATGAGGAAATGGGATTCCCTGAGTGCCCATTGAAAAAAATAAGTGCATCCCTGAAAGCTGCTCTTCAGTTTAGTAAAGGTTTCAATATCCCCCCCCTGTTAAAAAAAAGCAAAAACGAGCCGATGGCATGTATTTGCAAACACCTGGTTTTTCACAGTCTAGCTCTTAGGTTTTGCCTGGGATTGATCGAAAGTTATGACGCACCTGCCAAATGGCAACACGAATCCCTTCTTTTAGCTACCACCCCAGGCTGTGCTTTTCAGCCTGAAAAGGGTAAGTATGGCACCTGCTAAACCAGGCCACTCGCTCAAATGCAATCTCCCATGTTTTTATATAACTGCTGCTTTCCACCAAAATGCCACGCTGAAGATCTTCCAAAATGCGCAGTGTTTTTGAAGATCCGCCTCGCTCTCCTTGCGCGCGGCTCCTCGTGCTTGCCTGCCCAGCCCGGGCTCGGGCCCCGGATGTTGCCTGCCCTGCGCCTTTTCTTTTTCCTGCAGCTTTTCCGAAAAAACTTTCCCTCTCTTCCTCTCCGGCCCCCTTGCCCTGACCCGGCCGGCTTTTGCTCGCCCACGGGGGGGGGGACTCCCTACTCCCAATGCGAACCCCCCTCTGCCAACACCGCCTGGCTGTGCGGTGCCCCCGCAGCTCCACTAACCCCTTTCCCAGAGCCCGCCCCGACCTGACCCCGCCCCCCGTCTTGAGTGTCCTAACAGAAGCTGCCAACGTCTTGAACTTTTTGCAGATATGACTTTGGACGACGTGCGAGAATATGAGAAAAAAATGCATGAAAAAACCAACATTAAGGTTTGCCATGAACAGCAGCAACATTCCACAAACTCACTGGATGAAATAGAGAGCCATGACAAAGCCAGCGTATGTTTCTTATTTGTTTTTACTTCGACGTACCGTATAGTCAAACTCCTTCCTCTTCCTCCTCCTCTTCCTCGCACCCCTTTAACGCCTCAGTCCTCCTTGTCTATACTCATCACCGGGGTTTCGCTCAGCTCTGTGACAGCTGGCTTCCCGAAGGTTTACGGGCCTGCGAATACCGACTGGCAGACTTTAAAGTCCTACCATGGAGGGGGGCAGCTCATACTTGAGCTCAGTGTCCACTTAACCGGCCACAGTTATTGTTGTCCCCAGGTTTTCAGCAGATGGTGGATTAAGGAGATCAGATTCCAGACCAGATTTTGGGCTCTTATTTTATGTACACTGGCGTCTGTAAGTTCTCTGGAACTGCTTCAGTCTTGTTAAATAGCAGATTCTGGAGAAGCCTAGCAGGATTCCAGGGCGAGGTGGAAGTTAGGGAATATTTCTTGCATTGTTTAGGAATTTTAAAGAGACTGTGTGCACCTGACTGCACATTGAAGATGTGTCTCGACGGCAGTGTACAAGCGATCTGAAAAAACGCCCCTTCCCTTTTGACGCCACATTAAAACCAGCACTTTAATCTCGATTTCCTTTTTGTTTTGCCACTAAAAATGCTTTTTGGATTTTTCTGATGTCTTCGAACGGTATGCGAAGGGGGACTTCAAGCCGAGAGTGATATTGACATCTAAAAACAGAACGAGTGACCGCACGCTCACGAGCTCTGGTGATGAATATAGCTTTGAAAATAACAATTATGCAAAAGAAAAACAGTTAAGGAACCTGGGGGTGATGAATCTAAACTGGGGTCTCTTCTGTTCTTTCCCTCCGATCCGCTGAAGACATGACAATGGATGAAGTGAGAGAATTTGAGAGAGCGACTCAGGAAGCCACCAACAAGAAGATCGGGGTCTTCCCTCCCATGATCTCCATCAGCGAGTCCAACCTGCCCCCCTCCACGCGCAGCGCCCCCTCCAGCGCCCCCTCCACCCCCCTGGCCACCGAGGCCCCCGAGTTCCTCTCCGTGCCCAAGGACCGGCCTCGCAAGAAGTCCGCCCCGGAGACGCTCACCCTGCCCGACCCGGCCCGGAAGGAGGCGGCCCTCCGGCGGCCCAAGCTCTCGCCCGCGCCCGCGCCCCGGCCGGCCGCCCCGCCCCCCGAGTAGGGTGGGCCCCCCGAGACAGTGCTCTGCGTCGGCCAGTCCCTGCCGGGGGGGTGCTGCTGTGGGCCGGGTCCCCCGCCCGTGTCCGAGCCCACCCCCCCGCGCTGCTGAGAGAAGGGGCCCACCGGAGCTGTCCTTCGATTCCTCCAGCCCAGACCATGGATGTAAATAATCCGCAGATAGATAGAACCAGGGCCCTTCTCTCGTCCTGCTGGCACCGGGCAGGGCCCTTTTTAACCCTTTCAGAAACCCCCCACCCCCCCTTTTTTTTTTCTTGTAATGCCAAACACACTTTATTTGCTTGCAAAGGCGCCGACTTCATCGTAGCCGGTTGCAAACAAGCCTGTATTTTTCTAGGATATGGCCATTCTCCGAAAAATGAAATAGCTGAAAAAATACCCTAAGTGGCTCTGTCTGCTCCCAGCCCTGTCCTTGTACAGTGTACGTACTGTGAAGTCCAAACGAAGGTGCGTGGATGGACATGTCTCCTCTCTCTCTGGTGGGTCTGAAACTGAAAGGGGCCCCTGAGGAGGAGCTCCTGTGGCAGCAGGTGGCTTGAGACCTCACCGGTTCATTCCATTTCCTGCTCGCTGTCACCTCTCCTGCTGCAGTCTTGGGGCTCTTACATTGCTGAGCTGTGGGAGTGTTTGCACTGCGTCTCCACGTCTTTGAACACTGGTCTGTTCTGCGAAGAACATAGGTGTTGTCAGACTGTGTCTGTACCTGGCATGTGTGTGTGTGTGTGTGTGTGTGTGGGGGGGGGGCAGGGGTTGTTATTCCTTGACTGATCATTCAGGGGTGCACAAGGCTAGAGAAAAAAAAAATGCAATCACTATTTGTCGAGACGTCACTTCTCAGGGCTCTGCTACGCTGCTCTCTGCCTCCTGCACACAGCCGTTTTTTTTTTTAAAAAGCAAGTTCAGGAAGCCTCTCTCATTTCTCTGTCCTTTGTGTGTTGGAGCGTGTTTTGCGTGTGGGCGCAGTTCCAAAGCAACTGGGATCTGGCTGCAGAGGAGCAGTGGCAAGTGAAGTCCGTGGGGGCTTGTTAAAACATTGGCGACACAACAGGCAGATTGGATTTGTGTTGTTAGTTAAGGTGCACATAGTCACAATGTGTGCAGGCCTGCATGTCACTTCTACTGTGAATCTACTGTCACTGTTGTTGCTGCTTTTTGCTTTCATTCTTTCTTCCCATTTGTAGAACACTGTAATACAATGTAGCTCTTTGCTGTTTACACCTACAGTTAAATAAGACCCATTGTTTCCCATTTGAGATTTGATTGGTATTTTGAGTTTAGTCCATTAATGCTAGAACTATATAGATCTTTTATTTGTACAGTATTTGCTGATTGATTTTCTATCTTGTTGATTGATGACCCTGAATGTGCTACTAGCTTCTTTTAAAGCGTGTTCAAGCTGTGAAGATTACCACTGCTAGGTGTTTAGCACTAATGCCTGAGACAAAATATATCTAATGTTAGAACCTGGGTCACATCCCATGTGGACTATGGCCTCGGTCCCCCGAGCAACAGCACCACCGTGGGTAGGGTGCATTCCTGTGCATTTGCAGGCTTGCAGTTATGTCAGGGAGAAATGTGCCAATCAGAGCGAACTCACCTGTCAGGCAGAGTGGAGCTCCCCACTTGTCAAGGAACATGAGAAAAGCTGCTAGCGAGAGGAGGCCATTGGGTTCACCTGGCCCATGCGGTCCTGGAGGAGCAGCTGGATGGAAGCGTGGCTCAAAGGAGCAGACCTGCCCCAACGGCCCCCACCCTCAGTATCCAGTATCCTGGGGTCCAAAAGAAAATTTACCAAATACAGTGTTAAAAGCTGTTCAAAGAAAGGAACCTGCTGGAATTTAAAATCCTTTAGTTTGCTGAAAGCAGGAGTGTCAGCAATTAATTAGGTGGCGTCGAAGAATAGGAGAGCTGTGCAGTCTTCAAAGATGGTGTAACATGAAGAACCCTGGACCCCGGTCCAGCAGGGGGCGCTGTACCAATCGGTTGTACCTTTCACAGCAGTTTCACTTGTCTCAGCTGGTCCGTTGAATGCCAGAATGCCAGTGGTGGTTGCCATGCATATTCTTTAGAGCCAGACTGGAGGGATATGAAAAGATTTTTCCTAGGAAGAAAATAAAGCTACATACAGTATATATCTGAAAAACAAGAAAACAAAGGAGATAAATATGAAGTACATTTGGACCGAAGCAGCAGAAACAAAAAACACTTCCCGTGCAATTGAAGAGCTTGATTGTTAGGAGTGCATTTTCAAGCAGGATGCGATAGCTTTTTCATAAACGATCACAAATACATACATGTACTCATGGATATAAGTATGTGTATGTGTTGAAGTACACATAAGTATTATTCTTTATCTTGTGATTTGCCATACTACTAAGAATGTTTGTAAGTGGTGAATACAGCAGGATCTTGCGGGGTGTGTAAAATTAATTCGAATGAAGGTAAGAGAATGCAGGAGGACAGGTGAGGTAGTGTCCATTGTACAGTAAAGTAGTGATACGGCTGCCACTGAGCATGCTCCAGAAACACACAACAAACTGATCTCAGTGTTTCTGCATGCCAGACTCTAGCCTCTGATCTGTATACCAAATCTGTGACATACATTTCTATGAACTATCCTTTATGGGATCATCACTTATTGTTAACATAGAGCCATACAACAATTACGACACTTAACTTTTGATTTATAACTTACGAAATACAGAAAACTTGATCTTATTAAAAATAATACAAAATTAAGAAAACCACCTAATCTTGGCGATAGACATATCGACAGGTCAAAGAAATTCCGCACAGAAGCAGCTGGGTTCATTGTGCCCCTGCCTCCCGTGTCTCAAATTCACTTTTTTGTTTTTGCTACTCTGTGCATCAAAGTCAAACTTCTCATCTTACAAAATTGATTTCTGTTTTATTTTTAAATGAGAAGGGTGACACATGCACAGCAATTAAGGGAATTGTACAGAGGCCCTCTAATGCCCCAGTCCAGAACGTTAAGAAAGATTGCAAACCAGGGGTGCCATTTGGCCCAGCTGAGTTGGCCTGTTTGGTAATTAGGTGCAAATTAATCCCAGGATCCCAGAAATCCTCTGGCCATTTCTGGAAAGAAGCCAGGGTATCGGCTTCAACAACATGGCTGGTCAGCTTCTTCCAGGCTCCCACCACCCTTTCCATAAGGAAGTGCCTGCTCTCCACTGTGCCCTCTGGCTCGTCTTTCTCTGTTGATCTGTCGAAGTCTGTTGGGCTGACCTTGTCGATGCCTTTGAGGATTTTGCATGCAGTGCTTAAATGAGGTCCCCTCATAGTCTTCTCTGTTCAGCACTGAAAAGGTTCAATTCTCTCTAGCCCCAGCGGTGTCCAGTCCTGGGACTGGTGACTCACACACCTGTTGACTTCTGTTGGAGCTTCAACCATTGTATTTTGTAAGTTTATGGCCGTGTGGACATGTACACTGGAATTGTTACTCGCTCCGATCTCTCAGGACTCGCACAGTACAGCAGACAACACCACCCAATTTAGACAGAATATTACAAAACGAAAGGGATAGAATGAATGAATGGAATGAAGACCAGCAGGTGTGTGGGTCATCAGAACTGGGAACCCCTGTTTTAGCCCGTCAGTGTAGGACATCCCCTTAATCCACTGAATTCATCTGGATGCCCTGCTCTGGCCTGATTCCAGAGCAGCGGTCTCTTTTTTTTCTAATGTGGGGACCAGCCTGTGCGGCCTTTTATCAACCAGACAACGGTTCTGGGTTCCTCACAGGCGACTGGGCACATGGGGAAACGGAGAGCTTGAAACTGAGGTGCCGAGATTAAGGACACAACACGACCTGTCTTTACCTCGTGTTGTTCATTATGTTTTAATGACCGAGACTTCCCTGTGTCAGAGTTGTTGTTTTTTTTGTTGTAATTTAAGAGGCATGTTTCTCAGAAGTGTGACTTTCCCTGTTGTAGGCAATTCCAGTGGAGAAAAAAAATTGAATGAAAAATAAAAAAGCCTTTTCTGTTTTAACTTCTTATTTGTATGTCAAATGTTATTTGGTTGTGTTTGCTTCCTGCTGGGGGGGGGTAACTATGATTTGACTGGTTTGTTTACTTATAGTCAGCACCACTGATGGTTCATTTTTGTTGTTATTGTTTAATGAATTGAATAAAAGGACCAAGCTTTTGCGGGGCTTATAAAGCCAGGGCAGGCTGTGTTGGTCTCTCCGAGCTCTCTCCTCGTCTGGCTGCTCCCACTCATTCTTGGCTCTTCTGGTCTTCTTCTGATTTGTGTTTGTTGTTATTATCTCACATTTTCTTACATCTTGTAGTAAATAAAAGTTGAAATACAGTCGAAATCGGAGTTTGGTCGTGTGTGGTTCTTTTCCTTTCTCATTCGCGGTATTGTTTGAAATCGCGTCGAGACCGTTGGGGCGTTTTCTTGTATGTCTGTACCGCGGAAACTATCGTGGAACTGCTGCACTATTTTTATATTTTGGGGTTAGAATGAATCGGCACTGATGAGTGCATTTCCAACCACAATGAAATAAAAATATTCACAGTAACTTGTAAAACCTCCCAATATACATCACAAAGTGTCTTAGATTACCAGGTATCTGCAGCGCAATGTTCTGTGAGTCGCAGCGGCCCTGTGACACTGTAGACAAGCAGGCTTGTGAATCCATCTCTTTCAATCCAATAGAAGTCTCCCGTGGGGAGACCAGGGATTTGCAATGACATTGTGACTTACAGTACTTTCACAAAGATCACAATTTTGTGCTCAATTAGAAATTTGTACCGTCGGCGAATTTATTTTGTTTCTGAGATTTACAGTACAGCCGGTCTGAGAAATTGGGGCTGCAGTACCCCCCCTTTAAATCAGTCACTATTGCTGTGGCAACTGCTGTATTGACAGGAAAAGGAAGAGAAATAAATGGTGCAAAAGCTTTGACATATTTTGTGTAGCAATACTCGGCTGTTCGACAAAACTGGCGGGGTTGACACACAGGCAGGAGAAGATTTGTAACAAATCTTTCGCTGGGGTGAGACGCCAACTCGTTTGATCATCTCCGCGGCACAGAAAATCACCCTCGCCCGCTCGCCGGTGCGGTGCGCAGCTCCCTGCCCCCGTCTCGCTGTTAGACCACCCGGGCCCCCCGTGGCTCTTAGCCGGCGGCGCGGTGCCGCAGAGCGCCGGGCTGCCTGCCGCTCGCTAGCTAGTCGGGGCTCTGAAGTTTCGGCTCCCGTCTCCGGGGACCTTTCTGGCAGAGCCGTTCTTGCGAGAGAGTGCCCAGGGGCCTGGAAGAAGAATTATTGGGAGTGAATGTTTTTTGAATAGCGTAACGAACGGCCGACATACAGGTGGTACGAGCCGGTTGCAGCGCGGTGACGGCACCGCCCTCTACTCCCGTGCGCATAACAATATCCCTGTTGAGTGACCCGGGTTCGACCCTGAGGCGGGGGACAAACTGGGGCAGGAGCGGCAAGGAAGTGAGAGGAATAGCTTGTGGTTACTATATCCATGCGTCCATTTTCCAGTGGATTCTTCTTCCAATCCAGGGGCGCAGGGGAACCGGAACCAGCAACGGGCACAAGGCAGGGTGACCCCTGGGCGTGACGCCGGTCCATCACAGGGCAGACGGAGATGCAAACACTGACACACTCACACTAGGGCCAGTTTTCCCAGTTAACCTACCAAGTGGGAGAGGACACCTGGGGGAAACCCAGATGAACACAGGAAGAACATGCAAACTCCACACAGACAGCACCCCAGGTCAGGAATTGAACCCGGGGCTCCGGCGGTGGAAGGAAGCCAAGCTCATCACTG